AATGTTCAGTTTCCTCCAATGGACTCTTTGTTCACAACAGCCCCTCCTGGAGTCTATAAAAGACGTTCCTCTCTTTCCTTTCTCTGCACTTGTGCATAGTTTGCCTTTATTTTTATTTTTAAATTTTATTTTTTGATTACAGTTTGCATTTGTATTAGTTTCAGGTGTATAGCACAGACTAGACATTTATAAAGTGTTAAAAAGTGTTCCTTCAAATAATTCAGGTGCCCAGCTGGCACCATAGTTATTACAGTACTGTAATGAGAATGTAAGGTAAAGCATAGGGCATAAAACGTTTATCTTTGTCGTATGCAAGCTCTGTATATTATTTCTTTATATCTAGGTTAACACACCTTTGAAATAACCACCCTGAAGGAAGCACATAATCCTCCTAACTAACCTGTACTCCAGTCCCTGCGTTGCTTTTTTCCACCTCATGAACTCTTCTTACATTCTCTCCTTAATTTCAAATGCATAAAAGAAGGTGCAAAACTTCTCAGGAGCGTTTGAGGTCTTGCTCCCCAGCATATGGGTCAGTTTGCCTCAATAAACTCATAAAAATTTTTTGTGTTTTCTACAGCTGCCTACAAAAGCTATTTAAGCCATGAGACAGCATGAGATCACCAAGTCAGTGAGTATAGATACAAAGTAGGAAAATTTGTTGTTGAATAAATGAAATTTACTTATTAACATATGGTATATATAATTTTCTAGTGACTAAACTTCCAATTAAATCTGTGGAAAGTGTATTAATCCTGTAGCTATTCACTAGCCCTCATAAACGTTTTACATGACACCTTGCATTCACTGCTTACTGATGTGCTTAAGGTCAAAAATTCCCATCTTCAAACTGCCTGTGTACCTTCCCCACGGCCTTCAACTTCTCCTCATTGATAAGGTATAGGGAAAGAGGAGGAAAATGTGAGTGTCATTGTTCAGTGGGGACCCTCTGTTTCAGAGCTTCAAGCTGATTGTCTCAGGCTGCCAGATAACCTCCATAGCAGGAAACACCATGCTTACACAAAGTGAGATTAGTATTCTATGAAGTGAATAGATTACAGTAGATTACAACCCAAAAGCACACTGTTGGGACTTGGGTTGCAGTGCAGAGGCTTAGGTGCCACTGTGAGACTCATAGCAAAAAGTTAGTGTGGTATTTTGAAAAAAATCAAGCATCAGAGTAAAACCTGTGCTTAAAACTCATGTGACTCATTTCCATCACCAGTAAGTAGATTTTAGCAAAAGCATCTTCCAGGAACCCCAGAGTCTGCAGCAGTAATGCTGGAAGTGCTGAAGAATTCCGGATTAGTCAGGGAAACGAGCATGAAGTTTTGTAGGGAGAGCTGTAAGAATCATGACATTTTCCAGAACATGGATACTTCCCAATTATATTACTGAACAAGGTCTTTTTATTCACATTTCACTGATCCCCTCAAAAATTACATACACACTCACGCACACAGTCTGTCTGGAAAAAGCTGGGCCATTGTTAATATAACGAGAACAGTTTGTGTGACATTAATGTAAACTGGCAGCCAAAGAGAGTAGACTGGAATGCGCATGCATTAAAAATGATGACTTCACTGTAGTAGTCAACAGGGGTGGTAGATGAGTGAGCATGTGCACTGTGTGACCATCACATTCAAAATGACTGAGCAAGTAGAGCGATGGATCTGCATCAGATTTTGCGTTAAGCTTGACCATTCCTCTGTGGAAACTATTAGAATGATTGAGAAGACTGCAGCTATGGGCAACTGGTGATTGGCAGCTTCATCACAACGTGCCCGCTCATGCATTACATCTCATGCAGAGCTTTTTGGCAAAACATCAAATCACCCAGGTAATTCAGCCTCCCTACAGCCCAGATTTGGCGCTCTGTGACTTCTGGCTTTTCCCAAGACTAAAATCACCTTTGAAAGGGAAGATTTCAGGAACGCTCGATGAGATGTAGAAAAATAAGAAGGGGCAGCTGATGGCTACTGGGAAAACTGTGTGAGGTCCCACAGTGCCTACTTTGAAGGAGACTGAGCCATCGTTGTCCTATGCACAATGTTTCCTGTTTCTTGTATCTTCTTCAGTAAATGTCTCTATTTTCACATTGCATGGCTGGATACCTTCTGGACAGACCTCGTACACACACACACACACACACACACACTCGCATACATACATACATACATACATACACACAGGAGATGGTATGTTTAAATAGCAGATACATGCTTTCTCCAAATATTGACTCTCAGCCCCAGGCAAAGTATGTCAAGGCACTCTGCATGTTTTCCTAATGGTAATGCATATGTACACACGATTGGACCACAGATGTTTTCTTAGGAACTGTTTTTTTCTATGGGCATTTTCCAGTTATGTTGGTATTATCAAATTTCTATAAACATTTACTCTTAGTTGGGAAACACAAAGAATCAGATAACTCAGTTTCTTTCTAATCTAGCTGCGTAACTCCACCTGTAAGACATCAGATCTGTCCTAAATGTTTTGTGCATAAGGACACTTTTCTTAAGTAGTATTTTACATCAGTGCTTTCTTTTCTGTAGTGCACAAAGAGCCTTCAGGACATGTATAAGACTTTTTTAAAGGGTGAAATTTTCCCTCTTTTCCAACACAGCAAACTTTGTTAACCATGCCTCCTACATCCACCTCCGCCCCAGAGTGTTAGCTACAGCAAAGCTGTAATTAGGCACTGGATCCCATCCAGTTAGCACACATTCCTGGACTGCCTCACTTCAGTTACAGTAAAGCGCAAACATTTTAGCTTAATAATGGACATAAAAGTCCTTGTTAAAGTATATGTGACAAGTTTTATTTAACAAGTAATCATCCTTATCATATACATACAATAGTGCATTTTAAAGCACTGTTGGGTTTACATCGTAGGGGTTCAGAACGAGTCTTCCCAGGGCGTGCCTTTGTGGCACGCAGATTGTTTTGGGCTAAAGTTAACTGAGACCCTGCAGGATAGAGAGATTTCTACTCAACTCTCCCAGCTACCTAGAAAAATTTGAATTAGAGGCCTCGTCCACAATAAGAGATTATCATAAATAACCTCCTTTGACCTATCTATTTGGCAGGGCAATTAACTGATTTAAAAAATAATAATAATAAAAGCAGTCTTGGGATCTTTCGCATCCTATGTGGGGTCACACATATCACTGCTCTCTTCTGGGGTATGGCCATTTACAAACAAATTGTTAAGTCCTGGGCTATTTAATACACACCAGAATTTTTGCAAATAAGGTACTTCATGGAATGGCAAGAAGAAAATTCAAACATACAGCTTATATTCACCTACAGAATTCACATTTTCCCAGTTGTAAACAAATTACTATGCTTGGAAAATGTTAGCATTCTTAAAAATATTTTGGTTAAATTATGGTGCAAAAATCTAAATTTTGCAAACTCTGAAAAAGCATATTTTTGTGACATCTGAGCATTTCTTTGAGAGCATGGGAATGTTACACATGTAATGAAGCTATACTCTGGAAGAGTCTTCTTGAAGATACCTGAGGTAGAGATACCTTGAGGAGCTGGTAAGGGAAATCTGTGGGTTCATAAGTGGAGGAAAAGAAACATCTATGAAAAGTAGGGCCAGCTGAGAACTCACCCTGAGGAAGAGATGAGATGTGACAGTGTTGTCCCTGTCCCAAAACATTATCATACTTCTATGAACTGCAAGAATGCTTTCTCCACTGCACTTTGAAACATCGCCATTTTCTGTGAGTCACTGGGCCCTGAGGCGTGCCCTTGAAAAATGCAGCAGCCGCAGCGCTGTGTGGCATTGCACTGTGCAGGTATTCCTGAGTTCCAGATGTGGGGAAGATGGTCACAAGATATTCATTCTTTCTGGGAAGGAGTTTGATGATCAGGTTATTTTCTTACCACCACATGATACCAGTTACACTAAGAAAATGGATTGGCAGTAAGAAGGTGGGTAATTTTGAATATGAAAAACCCCAGAGACGGGGCAGGCTAGGAGGGGAAGTCGGGGGAAGTCAGCAGACGGCACAGGAGCTTACCTGGCCCCTCAGGGCGTTAGGGATTGGAAAGGGCTGCAAAAACTGAACAAAGACCTGGTTCTTAAGAAAAGAGATGGAAATTTATACTTTCCTCCCTCCCAACTGTTGACATTCCTGCTTCCTAGACCCAAATCTCCGGCAGGTACCAAGGTCAGCTAGCTCCTTTAGGGTTTAGTCCAACACTGAAGGCTTGGCCTAGGAACTCACCAATGCACAGTATTGTGTTTGTGGGAAAACTGTTCCAAAATATACCTGTATGCCAATTGTTTGGAATGTGATAGAGAATCCGTTTATAAGATTATTTACTTACAGGCAATTCTTTACATATAATCTCAGTTTTAGAATGTAATCAATGTGCTTCCAAATAGAAAATATGTTCTATGGTATATACAAAAAAAAAAAAAAAAGGAAACATTTATAAGGGAAAAAACACCTAACATTTTTGTCACCAAGATGAAACTGTTGTATTGTACATTCATCTAGAATAAAACTTCCTATTGACCTTTATTACTTTAATGATAGGTAGGCACTTCAAGAATAAATGTCTCCGTTTTTAGATATAGAGCAAATCCAATAATCTACCACTTCGACAAACCATTACATTATTAAGGAATAGCTACAAATATTCTATACGAAAGTGTTTTATATTATTTTGGAAATACAATCAAGATGCAATGCTTTAAGGCTGCATATTAAGGCTACCTTGGTTATTTGAAATGTGTATAAGCAGCAAAGAATTTTTTGCAAAAGGTAGTATAAATTAAACACTATGTCCATCTTAGGAAAAGAAAAGCTATTATAAGGCGACTAGACATTTAAAATGGAATCCTAAATCTTATTGCTATTATCCTATCGCATGACATATTAGCATTCAAAACTGCCCATTTCAGAACACCAAGAAATTCTCACTTTTTTGTTATCTTTCAATTTAGGCCACATCGGAATAACAACTTTTAAAATTAAACATTTCTTCTGTGTTTAAAGTAAAATTTATTATAATACAATAAATGCAAATGTTATTAAAAATGGTGGTTGAAATTATAAAGTGTCTAAAAAATTAAACTTTTATTTTGTGTTTAAAGTAAAATTTATTATAATAAATGCAAGTGTTATTAAAAATGCTGGTTGAAATTATAAAGTATCTATATAATTTTTCTAATATAAATATTGGAAATAATTTCAAAAATTCTGTATGTACATAGAACACTGAAAACATAAAATCATGCACAAGGCCAAAATATAACTTTGCATACTGTCCTTTTAAGTATCACTTTTATCTTCTCCTGCTTCCAGTATGATTCCAGAATATGACGGTGTATGCCAATAACTCAGATTACAAACTTACAGGGCTCAGTGTTTTGAATGTACATCAGTTATCACACATCAACAATATACTATTCTGATCAAGTGGTTCTAATTCCTGTATTTCCCCTTCTCAATAGGTCTTGGACATAAAATTGAGCGAGAAAAAGTGTGATTATAGGATCCAGCTTGACATGTTTTCCTAATGATTCATTTGAAAGTGGCCAAAAGTGTTTTATATATAAAAAGTCCCACAGGACATACAAGACAACGAGTACATTAACATGTAAGTAAAATTAAGCAGCTCACCCTCTGCTTGCTTACTTGGTTCCATGTCTCTACAGAAAGGAGGCACCAGAGTCATGAAGAAGTAAGGGCAAATCAGAACTGCTGGGAATGGGTGTTTGAGGGAGGGGGAGGAGGAGCACAGGGAAGAAGCAGGGCACAAGTGTCAGATTATGGAGGGAAATTAAACAGAATGACCTATCTAGCCTAACTCACCCTGCTAAAGCAGGGACTGGTTCCAGCCCGGCCTCCCTCCCTGCATCCCAGTAGAGCCCTGGGGTTATTCTGTCTCCCAGGACTATGAAAATGGCCACTGCCTTTTGGACAGTGCAAAGGCACATAGCCAGCTGTTTCCTACTGAGAACATTTCATAAAAATGAGGAATGGCCTATACATTACAGGTTTGGACATTTCACAAATACGAAAGAGAGCCTGAACTAGGCCTCAACGTGAGGGCAGATTGACAACAATTACAAATGAGCAGCTAACACCCAGAGAGGTTAAGAGGTTCAACAAAGGGGAAGAAAAGGAAGCTCTATGTGATGCTTAGTCCTCTATGACAGCCTTTCTCATCCAATTCACTTGGGTCTGGGGTAGGGCCTCAGGTTCTGCATTTCACTAGGAGATGCCAGTGCTCTGGTCTATGGACAACACTTTGTGAGGCAAGGGTCTACCACACAAAGAGGGAGCTACCTCTGTCTCTCTGGGCCACAAGCGAGCAGAACTGAGACTTGCTCCTATCTAAGCACATCCCCAGGTAAAAGGTATAAATGCTTTGCAAACATAAACAACTGTCTACAAGACTGTGTTAACATATTTTCTGAGAGCACCATGACTATATGAACGGCCAAATAACATAATTCAACTTGAGTAAACGGAGTGGTCTATTTGCTGGTAATAAAACTTGTAGTCCTCCATAAAGTGAACATGATATAAAGTATAAAAAACCCAGCACATTACATTTCATAGTAAAAGGCCACATGTGCACATATATACATATAGTATGAGTTTTAAGAAATTAAATGCATTTTATCAGAGTGTAATGCTACCACTGCTCCCAGCTAAAATCATCTCCTCTTCCAAATACAAGGAAAAAACCTTGAATCGTAAGGAAAATGACTGCATTGCCTGCCAGCACAAGGCCACAGGCTCCCCACTTGATCTGAAACACAAGAAAAAAGGATTAAATCTTTACTTTCTTCATATTATATTCTTTGCAAATCTATTATTTTCTGCATTAGAAACATCCAATGAAATATTTCATAAAACTGCTAAAGGGCTTAATATACAGGCAGGAGACAGTGAATTTACACGGTAATTAGTCTAATTACTTCATGATGCTTGTTAATTAAGTGTAGTATCATCCTTAACATTTTACCCATTAGATATATTCCTCTACTTGTTTTCAGCAGACAATGATGATGGCCCTAAGTAAAATACATGTAGATTATAAAGGGTCCAATTTCAATACTGGGTACTGAAACTTCTGTACACATTGCCTTTTTTCATGAAAATAGGAATTGGAGAGTTAAGGATTGATTTGTTTCTTTCCTAGGCAAGAAAAGACTTAAAAAAAAATCTGCTGCAAATGAAAACAGCTTTGTGGAGTGGCACAGGATTTTACAGAGGTAGAGTTGGGGATGAGAGTACCCTCTAGTGGGCATTTGTTGTTTCAATTTAACCAACAGAAAACATCTATGAAAGTTCCTTCACACAACGTGATGCAGTGTTAAAAGGTAAAAATAAACATTTTTAGAGCAAAATTTTGGAAGTACTTAGTCTGAGGTAGAAAGAGAATAAGGTTGCATTCAAACACCATCAATGTGTCTCCATTATCTAGATGGAGTTTAAACTGGCATGGCATCCAAGACTCTTTCCCTCACGGGCTTTGCCAACCTTTCTAACCTCAATCTCAATCACTCCTTTTTTGTTCCATCATATTGGAATACTGCTCTTTATTCCACATATTGATTGCATTTTCACACTTGGGTGCCATTCCATTTAACAGCCTTCCCTACTTTAATCAAAACCCTATTTATCAAAAACCACATCAAATGCCAGTTGGAATTTCTCTCTGTGTTCCCAAGGCATTCTGATCCTGTTTCAATTACCACACTTATTGTATGCTTACCTAAAAGGCTAGTCTCTGTTCTGAGAACAGAGACAGCATCTGGCTCTTATTCCTGGTATCTTACAAATAGCAGATGTTACAAAAATATTTACTAAATGAATAAACAAGACTTGTACATATCTTATATTCAATGTCTCAATAAGTTTCATGAAATTGAAAAAGTATGTAATTGGGGAAATAAAAACAAAGAGTATGAAGACAGTGAATGTCAAAGAAAGGAATAAATTATACCCACAATGTGTTTTTTATTCACTGTTATCTTCAAATAGCTATAGAGTTGCCCCTCGACATATGCCTGTTGTGTTGAGTAGAGAACCGTGTCTGTTATCCTACTGAAGGAGAATTTGATATGATGTTGTGGTACTGTGATTTACAATAAATATTTGATCTTCCTCTCCTTTCTGGCACAGAGTTCCTAAAACACTTGGAACTTCCTAAGTGGATAACAGAGATAAAGGTGACTTTTATTATGTTAATGAGGTAACCTTTGGAAAGCACCTAAGGATGAGGGCGGGCTGCCAGAGAGGCTAACCATGTGATTAGAGGGGCTGGAACTTTTCGTCCACATCCCCCAACGCCCACCTCTGGGGAAGGGAGAGGAGCTAGAATTTGAATCAATCACCAATGGCCAATGATTTGACTGATCATGCCTATATAATGAAGCTGCCACAAAAACCCAAAATGAAGGGATTTGGAGAGCTTCTGGGTTGGTGATTTGGTGATATGAGCAGAGTGGTGCATTCAAAAGGACGTGGAAGCTCCTCACCCTTTCCTCATACCCTGCCCTAGGCATCTCTTCCATCTGGCTGTTCCTTTTATGGTAAATGGGTTTCCTGAGTTCTGTAACAAATCAATCAAACCCAAGATTAGGGTCAACTTCTGATCTCCACAGCCAATCAGTCAGTCAGAAGCATAAGTGACAATCTGGGCTTTTGATTGACAACTGAAACAGAAGACAGTCTTGTGGGACTAAACCCTTAACATGTAGGATATGATGCTATCGTTGGGTAGATAGTGTCAGAATTGAGTTGAATTGTAGGACACCCAGCTGGTGTTTAAAAATTGCTCATTGGAGGTGTGGGGGAAACATCATTCCACACACACTTGAAATTGGGTGATCAGGACCCATTTAGATGTTCACTTTGAAACTAGAAAAGTATTGCTATTGTAGTCTCTGTGGATTGCCGTAAGATAAGACGCAAGGATTTAAGAACAACTCCAGAAAATAGCTTAAAGTACAGTAGAAAAAGCAAGAAATCACTTGGTCATGCTAAAAGTTTTAAGAAGAGCTAAGAAAGCATTCTGAAAACATGGCCAAAATATTGATAGGTAGATCTAAAATGTGGACTAGATTAACTAAAATGGCTTATGTCTGGCTTAAGTCTAAGCAATAAAAATGAAATTGAGGTTCCAGACACAGGCCTCTGAAGTAAACCCAGAGACAACTGGGTAAAACAATAGAGAACAAAACTCACCACAGCCACACGAGCAAGAATAACAGGAAATCCAAAGGCAGAAACAACAATTCCAGTAGTGAAAAAATAGGCCAGTTCCCGACAGGCACTGCTTGTTGCATCAGAGTCATATGTTGCTCTTTTGGCAATGAAATAGGGAATGGGAGAGATGGCGTGAAATATCAGGACGAACAGGGGCCAGTACACACTGTTGGTTGGACCCAGAAGAAATGCAAAAAGAAAAGTTACAATTAAGACATTCTACTGTTTCAAGGTTAATATTATTCTAAATGTCGAGGCCCAAAAATTATTTATTCAATTGTCAGTGTTAGCACTTAAGATGATTTCTACCAGGAATACATAAAAGGTAATGATAATTAAAACTTACTAGTCATTAATATATAGATAACTGATACTGTGGTAAGAAACTGCACAATGATTGTATATCTGAAACCTATATCATTTCATTAACCAATGTCACCCCAATAAATTCAATTTTAAAAAAATAAACTACACACTGTAATGTATAATCTAGAATCTTTATTGTTTTCTGTTACTACTGAGCTGTAATTTCTTTAGAGACAGAAGCTTGACTTAGACATCTTTGATTTCCTTATAGAACATAATACAATGGCTTGCACATACTAATTCAATAAAGACTTTTTTGAGTGCTTGCATGTTGGAAACCTTTCAATGGCTTAGAATAAAACCCAGAATCCTTGCCCTGACCTACAAAGTATTACATGATCTGATCAACTTACTGTATTCATTGTGTGCCACCTTCCCTGCATTCACTTAATGTGCAGCCTCACCAGCCTTCTTCCTGTTCCTCGAAAACTCCGAGCCCCTCCCTGCTCTAGGGCCTTTGCATTAGCCACGGACTCTTAGAATGTTCCCCCCCCCATCTTCTCACTGGCTGGCTCCTCCTTATCATGCAATGTAAACTGAGAGGTCTTCTCCTAAGAATGGTGTAACCAGGCCATCCATTTTAAATAGCGCAAGTCACCCTGAGAGCACATCACACTCTTAACTTTCTACACAGCCCTTATTCCTATCTGATAGTTTCTTGCTCATGAGAACAGGGATCTGATTTGTCTTTGTCACCACTTATCTCCAGGGCCCAGGATGAGGTGCTTCATTAATATTTATTGAGTGAACAAAATAATAAATAGATTTTAAGTTTGGAAGACATGAAAATAAATATGCTTACTAGTAAAAACTTTAGATATATTCTAATCTTTATTATAAAAGGTCACAATTTCTGTAATACAAAACATAAAAACTATTTCTTCTCAAATTTCAATGTTTTGCATTTATAAAATATTGCCATCCACTTTCCATTTCTTCTATAAATACTTCAGAAATATTTTTCTCTATTAGTTAGACATTTATTATATTGTATTTCAAGAAAGAGGGATATAAGACATAGTCTCTACACACACACACACACACACACACACACACACACACACACACACACACACACACACACACACACCCCCCCCCCCCCTTCCCACCTCCCCAATAATAAAGACCACCACAATGCCTTGATTAACACAGGTTTGCCCGGATAGCCAGCCCCTCTGAGCAGGAGTTGGTGTGAAGCCACACTGTAATGACAACTTCCCATTTCAACCACAGATCTAGGAGGGCAGGATGGTTAACCGAAAAGTGCCCTTAAGAGACTCAGGACAGAAACACTGAGTTTGGACTTCTAATTTTAAACTACAGGAATTATAGCATATTTCAAGAATCACCAAACAATATAGTGGGAAGGGAAGGGGTTTTTACAAATTCTCTAGTTCAAAGCCCTTCTTGTGCCAGTGAGGAAAGAGACTGAAGAAGAAATCTGGAATAGACCCAGCGGATGCTTGACATACCCACAGCCAAGAGCTCTTAATTCTTCCTAGAATACAGTGTTTTCTAAAGAAAATCTATGTTTCCATTCATAGTAAACTACTGTGGACAAAAAAAAAAAAAAGAAAAAGAAAAAGAAAAAAAAAGGAGGGGGGAGGGTATGTACAAGTTCAGTGACAGAAAGTAACCTAATAGGGTGATCTGACCATAAGTTCCGAATGATCAGCTCATGATGAGAAGTCACACCCCACACCTGTAACTTCTTTAGTAAAAGATTTATCTCTGCCTTAAGCAAGCCCTGGCCATTTTGCATGTGTGTATGTGTGCATCTGGGTTTACACACCTCTGAAATAAGAATAACCACCCTCAAGAGAGTATATAATCTTAACTATCTTGAACCTTGCCTTCTCCCACCTTTATGTAATCTGCCTTACATTCCCTCCTTAATGTAAAAAAAAAAATACACAAAAGAAACTGCAAAATTGTCCCTTTCCCAAGCATTTGAAATCTTGCTTCCCAGCAACTGTTGTCAGTTTTGGCTCAAATAAACTCATAAAAATTCTCTACAGGTTTGGGCACTTCTTATATCAGCAATATAAATTGTAAATGCTTTCAAAACTTGAACCCAATCGTTCTTTTATACACTGTGAGTTTTTCTCATGACCAGAACTCTCTATTGGTATCTATTTGTGTCTATATATGAATGCTGAAAATGTGAGATAATTTTCAAACTCCAAATGGTATTATTGAAATTAAAGTAAAGGCAAGCACTTGTAAGAATTGGGTATTTTAAAATTCTCAGAAATATAGAAACTAACTCAAATGCTTTTTAAGTTCACATGATCGAAAATTAATCCTTAGTAAATAAAAGCTAGTTTAAGTTTGTTGGTTTAAGTAGAAGATGTCTTTTGAGTTGGTATTTTAAACTTATATTTATATTACATTTTACCTGGGTTTTATAAAAATAAGTCCACATTAATAATTGACTTTGACATCTATGAAATGTTTCTAGGGGTTATAAAATGTCTTCATATATTTAACTTCTTAGCTTTCATTAGAAATTGAGATTTTAAGGGTTAAAATCTCAGTATATGTAGGAATCACTTTCCTGTGCTCCAGAAGGGACCCTGGAACAACTCAAAAAGATTTGTTTTCTCCCCATATCAAAGAGAAATTTTAAATAAATCACGCATGGTTTTGTTTTTTGGTGTGGTTTTTTTTTTTTAATGTTAAATTGCATAGAAGCACTGTAAAATAAGTGATGAAAGACTTCTAGGGTATGTTATATGGGTAAACAATGGCTGTAAATTAAATGACTAGTTGGAGTGTGGCTGCTTGGTCCTTCAAGGCTCCCTGGCAAAGCCCGTTTTTTTTCAGTGTTTACTTTCCTTCATGCATCACAATGCATTCAAACTGGACTTAGATGAGATGAAGGAACTTTTGAGCTAACATTATTGAAAGGAGATACTTTATACTACTGCCAAGGTTTGATAGTCACTTCAAGAAAATGCCAAATAGGTAACTGCTTCCTTTCATAGGGAGCAAGCAGGGGACAAAGACTTTAAGAATCATCAACTACCATCTCGAGATTTTGTTTACTGGAAAGGACATCAAATAAAGACACTCCTCAACCTCACTGGAAGGGACTTTATCAGACACCTAGCCACGAGAACGGACATCTACCCCATCCTTGACACTTGCCTCCGCCCACAAAAGACATCAAAGGCTCCTCTAGGAGGAGAAGCCACTGACCTCAGAGGTAGATGTCGGCTGTCCCAAGACACCGATAAGGCCTGTATACCTACAGATTGATGCTGAACTCAGAAACCAATTTGTTTGATTGTCTTTACTTGTATGCTAATGACACTAGTTATAATAATATACTTGCTCTTTGGGTTTTGCTAATAGTCCAATTGTTAATAATTACAGAACTTAATACTCTTTATAGCTATATAAATATCAATACTAGATGCAAAATACAGAAAAATGAAACAGCGAAACTCAGATCATGAGAGTTCACAGACTAGAAATGATCCAGGGTGTTTTTCATGTTGAAGGCCCTGACCACCTTCCATTTACCTGCCCTTTCCTTTTGGGAAAATTCCGCCCCACTCCCATCTCATGGCTATCTATTGCCCCATCCCCAACTGGCCACCATTTCAACACAACGACCAGTCTCCCCTGAGTCCGTGCCCTTCACCCTTTATTCTTCATAACACTTTAACCTCTGACATTGTGTACACTTTAAAATCTGTTTATTGCCTGTCTCCCCCACTGAAATACAGAATCCAAGAGAATAGGACTTTCGTTTTCTTATTTCTTAATCCCCAGTTCCCATAACTGTAGCTGGCACACAGGAAGCACTCAACCAACAGTTGTTGAATAAAGAAATTTGTTGAATGTTCCCCCTGCCTGAAATGCTCTTCCCTGACTCAGCCCGATAAACTCTCATTTACCCACGAGACCTCAGCTTTTGCCCAGCCCTTCCAGACTCTCCCAGGGAAACTCTGAAGCACCTTCTCAAAGCTTCCGCTGTACTCTTCCATCTCCACTACAGCTGTCATCTTCCCAAGTGGACTGCTTACCGGCCCCTCACTCACAGCTAGAACTGTAAGCTCCCCGAAGATAGGACTATGTCTCTTCATTTTTGTATCCCCAGCTGATCCAGGGCAGATATCCAATAAATGCATATTAAATGAATATATCAACTGTAAAGGAAGCTTTTCTCTACACTAGTACAGCTAACTCACGAAGGGACTGAGTTCATAATTTGGGCTTCACTAACTCATTGGTTAGAGCTTGGTGTTAAATTGATCAAACTCCCTAACGTCCACCCCACACACACACACACACACACACACACACACACACACGTGACAAAGACACAAAAAGAAGAATAGTTTTGTTTTATTTTGTTTTTTAAATAACTTACCCATAATCTTCTAAGGCACATCCCAGCATAAGAAAAGTCAGTCCAATAGCCCCACTGAAGGATAATAACACAAGAGCTGTGAAAAATATAACCAAGAGTTATAGGTTACAGATCAGTGGTTGCCAGGGGCTGGAGGGAGAGGGGAGAAATGGGGATTGACTACTTACTAATGGGTACAGTTTCTCCTGGGGGTGACGAAATGTTTTGGAATTAGATAGTAGTGATGGTTGTACAAAAAACCACAGAATTATATACTTTAAAAAGATTAATTTTGTGGTATGTGAATTATATCTCAATAAAAATTTTAATTAAAAAATAAAGGTTCTCAAATTAAGCAGATGTAGCAATTCACTGATTTCATTAGTCGATGTCCCATTTGATTAGCAAATCATTGCTTATGCCTGCCACTTTAAAATTATCAGGTGGAGAAAGGTCTCAAGAACTTCCAGTACCTAACCTCTATCTAATGATGAATTCCCTCTTTATTTGTCATAAGAAGCCAGCCAGCCAATCTATACAAATCCAGGAAGGGAACCTCACTAACTCCTGAGGTAGGTTATTTCATTCTGATAGTTTCTGAATGTTGAAAATCCTCTTTCCTTAAATTATATGTAACACTGCTTCCTTGTAATATATACATTTTGATCATTTTTGCCTGCCCATACCTTAGCACTTTTAAGTATTTGCAGATTGCCTTCATGTCTTCAAAGAAAATGATTCTCAACTACTGAGTAAAATATTTATTCCTGGCATCTGTAGGACACTAATCTCCAAGGGGAGAGGGACATAACTGTCCTTACGCTGTTGACTTGTTAAAATTCTTGAGCTCTGAGTCACTAAGATGGGTTCAAATCTCCTCTGCCACCAACTGGTTGTGCTACCTTGGGTAGAAGCTGAACCTCTTTAAATGTGATTCCTCACCTGTAAAATAGTAATAATGGTGCCACTGTATTAGGAGGCTGATGGGAATTAAATGAGACAATCTATGTAGAGTGCTGGGCAAAAGGAGGGGCTCAATTAGAAATCCTGATTGATGTAGGTATCTGTTCATTTTAGCAATGTTCTTTGATAAAGGTATAAATTAGAAGCATAGGACACTATATTATCCAAATCTGCTTCTGAAAAAAATACAGGGTCTAGCACAAATAACAGCCCTTTTTTATTACAAAACCACAAGCAAGTAATTCTGTAACATAAAAATATCATACTCAAGCACACCACATGACGTTTTAGGAGAAGTGTTCAAATTAAAACTATAAATCATTACACCCATATTATTAGCCTACAAACCACACTCAAGCAAGTGTTACTTTTGCCAGACCCTGTACAAAGCACTCAAAATTAGTCACTGATTAACCTAGTTAGCATTCTGATTGCTTCCTGTTACATTAAGAGGAGATTTGGGGAAGGGGAGGGGGACTGTTTTATAGGAAGATGCCAAAGTAGTTTTAAAAAACATCTAGAAGTATGCAGATATTAGGGGACAAGGAAGAACTCCAATTTTAATTTATACATTTTTTCCATTTAGTAGATGTCACTTTTTAAAGAAAGATGTATAAAATTAAGTTTTTATGTATTCTTTTGTTAGAGAGGCTCTCTTCCTAGTTGGCTTTGTCCCCTCCCTGTGCCTGACCATCTATCTGTACGTCTCCTTTTCCAGAACAGCCTTCAAAGATTGGAACTATAGACATCTTCCTTCTAGAATGTGACAACAGCCTCTCAAGGTTCACTACTGTGTATCTCCAGTTGATTCTTTTTAGTCCTTTTTTCTTTTTCAGGAATCGCATTCTCTACGTTTTTTAAAGATGGAGCTGACCAGATATCCAACTTCATCTCTTTTCACTCTACACTCCTGTTGAGACGTTGCGTTCATCCCAAAGCTCCCCTGTACAAGGTCCTGGCCACATGAATGACGCGCCTCCAACTCCAGTCCTGACTTCTCTACCTGAGTAAGACCTCAAATTCACAAGGACCTCAAACAAGGACCTCAAATTCACATGTGAAAAACTGAAACAGCCCATGCCCCCTCCTCCCAAAACACTCATCTTCCCTTTGAAGGTTCCATCTTGAAATACCAACACCATCATTGCACTCTATGCTCCAGAAAAATAGTAAATCAAGGAGATTTAATCTCCCAAACCTCATTGCTTTAGATTGAAAGCTTACAGTCCAATTCCACCCACCTCTCAACAATACACGTTAAACCCTAATACCTGTGCGATGGTATTGGGAGATGAGGCTTTTGTGAAGTGATTAGGCCATGCGGGCAGAGTCCCCATGACTGGGATTAGTGGTCTTGTAAGAGACCCCAGAGAGCTCCCTTGCCCCTTCCACCATGAAGATACAGCAAGAAGACAGCTGTCTATGAACCAGAAAGCAGGCCCTCATCCAGCATCAAATCTGCTGGCACCTTGATCTTGGACTTCCCAATCTCCAGAACTAATAAATTTTTTATTTAAGCCACCCAGTTAATAGCAGCACTCTTCTCGTGAACCCTCTGCTAAGGCCCTTACCATCTCATGCCTGGCTCTAGTCATCTTTCCCACTCCACCCTCCATACCGCAGACAGTGATCTTGCAAGTAAATAAAGTTGGTGCACCTCTTCACAGCTGCTTGCAAGCCTACAAGTTTTTCTGGCACCTGAGGCTCAACACAGCCTAACCCCCAACTACCTCACCACTCTCCCACTAAATTCCAGTCTTCATAACTTAGATCAAGCTCCTGGAGAGAACAAGGTATGCTCTTTCATGCCCCCAGCCCTAGGTCCCATGCTGTCCTCTCCACTTGAATAAACTCTGTCCTCAGCCCATCTTTTGCCAGGTGAAGCCGTATCAATCCTTTTAGCTTCAATTCAAGGACTACCTGTTGTGTAGAAAGGGTCCTCTTCCTTCTTGCAGCAGGCTTAGGCGATACCATCTGTATTAGTTACTAGACCTGCTATTAACAATGTACAAACTGGGTGGCTTAGAACAGAAATTTATTTTCTCACAGTTCTGGAGGCTTCATGGTGTCGGCAAGACCATGCTCTCTCTCAAGGCTCTAAGGAAAGAATCCTTCTCAGCCTCTTACTCATTCCTGGTGGTTTCTTTGGTGCTCTCTGGCTTATAGCTACCTCACTCTGCGTTCTACCTCTGCCTTCACATGGTGTCCCTATATGTCTCCACATGGAAATTTCTCTTTTCTTATAAGAACACTAGTCATGGGGTTAGTGTCCAATCTAATCCAGTATCACCTTAAACTTGATTATATCTGCAAAGACCCTATTTCCAGGTAAAGTCACATTAACAGGTAGAGGGGAGTTAGAGACATAACTCAACCCACAACACCATCTTTGTGCTCCCACTGCATCTCATCACACTTTTCAGCCAGAAACTCTGTCACCCACTAATAATGTTCTATTTATTTTTTTATCCCAAGCCTCATGTGAAGAGTAATCCCTCAAAGGTTGAATTACCTGAAAAATGCTTCCTTCCCTCAATGTTTTTCCATTTCATAATTTAGCTTCCTTCACAATTTCTAACAGTCACACATAAATATTATTTGATAGTTTCTAGGCATGACTAAACACAGTGCAATATGGTGATACTACTTATCATCTGTTTTCTTCACTGGCTTCAAACGGCTGTATTACACACCAGACATGGTCTAAATAAACCATGTTTACTAAATTGATGTTGAACATAAGTCACCCAGAAGTAATGATAAAATGTGCCTGCTGCTAACAGCTTACACACTCAGATATATTTCATAGTGAACACACACATGCGTGCAAATAGACTGTACACAAGTTTATAGCAGGTGGGGAAGTCTTTGGGTCAAAGAGAACAGGAACTCCAACAAGAAAAACAAGTTATGCTACTCTATTCAAAAGATTAGAAATGTAACGGTTTCCACCCAAAATAACAGGAAGCCTTCCAGTAACCTCTCCCACAGCTGAAATCCCCCATTCCTCAGAAGGCGTACAGATAAGGGAAGCGGTGTTCTTGGTACCCCTTTTTATCAACCGCGCCATTCAAAAACACATACTGCACAAAACACCACTTTCTTGTCTGTCCAAAGATGAAAGTAGCGATAAAATTCCACCTAATTTGCTTTCCACGATTACGAGAAATACAGCTTTCCAGTAACGCCCGCCAGCAGTCAACTCTGCCCAATAGGAAAAATTATCAGGAACAAGAAGAGTAAGTACACCAAATCTGAGAACACTGGAGACAATAGCTCCTCTAGAAGAAATGGGAAACTGCGGAACGGCGGGAAAAGACAGAAGGGTTAGGGTGCACTTGTCAGACGTGGAAACCTCGTTAAAAACAAGGCAGAGGGGGTGGGGGGACGCTCCTAGGAACTGTGGAGCCGGTGAGGTGATGCTCCGGGGGCGGGCCTAGCTCCCCCGGGCAGGCACCGCTCCCCGAGCGGACTCCGCCTGGAGGGTCTGGAGTGCCAGGGGACAGCGTGAAGGCCAGTGGCCTAGCAAAAAAAAACGGGGGGGCGCTGAGGTTCCCCGTTCCCCAAACATCCTTCCACCCGCGCCCAAACAAGCGAAGGGAGTGGGCTAATGCATTCCCACCCGGAGAGGTGGAAAGTGTCGTGAGTCTGGGGGAGGCCGCTGCCTGCCCACGCGCTGAGAGCGCAGCTTCAAGGTCAGCCCGGCGCGAAGGCGACTACCCCACCGCAGAACCAGCCAGCGGGGGCCGCGGATGTACCTTTAATGCCCGCCATGTCTCCCGAGCTGGGGCTGCGGCTGCTTCCGGCTTCCTGCCACAACCCCCGCCCATGCCCGGGCAAGGGCTGTACCTCGGGCCCCGAGCCCGCCCCACGCAGAACCCCGCCCCACGCAGAGCCCCGCCCAAACTCGTCCACAACTCCGCCCCTATTTGTCAGAGCTCCGCCCCCACCCGCAGAGCTAGGCTCCTGTCTCCTCAGCCTTAATCCATATCCTGGGCTATTCCTACAGAGCCACTTGCTGGGAGCAACGCCAGCCTTGCGCCTGGAGCCCAGCTCCTAGGTCTCAAGCCCTCCTCAGAGGGCCATTTTTTACTTAACTTACCTCAAGGGAATGAAAAGTTTTGTTGGGACAATCGGGAAGAATACTCCATTTGAAAGAACCTCAATAAGGGTTAGGCTTGGTTGCTTCACACAGTTCCTTGGGGGAGGGTGGATTAGGGGCCACTTACTCCCTCGTTCCAACCTAGAACCCACTCCACGGTTTGGTGCCGCCCCTCTTCTACTGCTTTTTCTTACTTTTCAACGAAACAGAAAGATATAGGTGTTCGCGGGAACCCAGGTTCCTCTGGGTACCTGAGAACAAATTCTCACCACCACCTTTCCGATTCCCACTCGGGTTACTTTGGCAAAACTGCGCACTGAGCGTATTATTGTCTCAACACGTGTAATTACCTTTCAGTTTAGTTTATTCTTCTGCTTCCTCCCATGTCTCCTCATAGACGGAAAGTACAGTTGTTAAAAACATGGTGTTGCTGATATCTGGCTCACTGCAGACCCATGGAGATCCAGAAGTACACTGCATTCCACTTTGTAGATGCAACTTAGCCAAGATAGTTGAGAACTCTTTTCCTATTCTTTCAAAAACCTGTTAAAGCGCTCGGAGGAAACTACCTATCACCCAAACAACAAAAGCCTGTCTTTTTTGGCTCACTTACTGTAGTACCGTGGTGCTCTCATGAAGAAGTTGGGGTTTTTTTTCTCCTTAATTGATGAGGATTTCCTAATTGGGTCAAATCTCTCTGTTTCCCCTTTTATTCCCAAAGACCCAGCAAGAATCTGGAAAGCCATACATGTTTGCTGGGGCCTTCCATGTCGACCTGGGGCCAGCCCCACAGAAAAAAAATGATTTTGGAGAAAAGTGACATTTCTTCAGAGGCACAGCTTGGTTTGAGTGCCTTAGGCTTAGCAGTAAGACACTGGAAGTATGTTTGAGAAGCAGAAAGATGAGGTGTTTGCCCCAGGGTAATGTCCAGAATTAGAAAAATGGAGAGCCAGTATTGGTCACCAAGTTTCCTGCCCACAGCAACTGTCTTTTCCAGCTTACTAAGCACTTTAAAGTTAGCCATCTTGCTTGAGGCTTTAACCATCTGAGAAAACTTTCTTCTTGCCAGAGGCTGAACTGAAAAATTGGTCTTCTACTTACCCATTCCACGTTTCCTCAAGAATAAGAGCCACCAAAGACAGAAAGTAAAACTTTAGAACTAAACCCTATCACCAACTTGCCATCAATGTGTTACTTGGATACGCAAGATCGTGTCCTCTGTCACACTATGTAAAACTACAGTGGTCTTCTTTGGAAATATTTTTATATTTTCTGCTTGCATTCATTCCTCTAACATTATAAACTACATTTTATTATCTCCATTTTACAGATGGGAAAATTAAGGCCAAGATATTAGTAACTAGTCAGTAGGGAAGATCAGATCAAGGCCAAAACAGTTCATCTCTGCAGTCAGATGGTCAGCACTTGGTGCAGTGGATCTTGCATACCAATAAAGCAGGAAATGTCATAGTAATTAGAAAAAACACCCCCTCATGTTTAACAAAGCAATCAAATCTGTTCATTAATTTGATTTTCTCTTATATATCCATTTGTGTCTTGCATACAGCATACACAAAATAATGGCTGAATTTACAGAAACCAATAAAGTTCACCTTCTATATTATGTCTCCCCTATCCTACAGAAAAGATCTAGCCTCAAACCCCAGCTCTGGATAACCCTCTCCATGAATCCATTTCCTGATGTGGCATTTACAAAACCCATCTCTCAGAACTTTCTGAGAATGAAATAAGAAAATGAAAAAAAATATATATATACATATGTAAATAAAAATAGCATGTAGGGTCATGCTTGAAAGACAGATGCAGTGGCATCATATCTGCACTGAGTTTGGCTCTTAAGTCTGTGTATAAATTAAATGCAAGTATGATGCAGCACTGTTGAAATCAGTCAATGTTAGTTTTCTTTCCTAACTCTCAACAACTACTCTTCACACAATCATTCCCTTTACAAAACTTACAGTGCAAGTCTCTGCCATTATATGCAGACAGGTCTCTGTCAGGCCAAGGAGACAAATAAGAGCAAGGCCCTGGCTGGGTAGCTCACTTGGTTAGAACACTGCCCTGATACCCCAAGGTTGTAGGTTTGACCCCCTAGTCAGGGCACATCAAAAATCAACCAAGGAAGGCATAAATAAGTGGAACAACAAATCGATGTTCCTCTCTCTCAAATCAATCAATAAAAAATTTTTAAAAAGAAATGAGGAAAATTGTTTGCTTTTTTCTACTCATGTTATCCACTGCCCACAACCTGAGGTTTCAACGTAACTGCAGCTCCAATACTGACCTGCAGCAATACACTGTCTTATTGACTGTCAGTAACAGTAACTGCTGTTAAGTGAGTACCCATTTAATAACATTTTATTTACACAGTCTATTCCTCCATTACAGGGTTGTTAGGATTATTTCTATTTTCTGGGTGATAAGATTACGATTTAGAGACTTTAAGAAACTTGCCCAAAATGACAGTCCTAAGTGGAAAAATCAGGATCCAAACTCAGTCTTCTGGTCTCAAACCGATGCTGTACCATTATGCCCAAACACCATGGTTTAGCTTTAGAACAACCAAAACATGTTTACTTGACCTAAATTCCCTGAAAGATGTTTCCAGTGGAGAAACTGTCCTGTTGCTATGACAACTATTTCTGGAATTGAATTTTTGTGTTCATTCCTTAAACAATGGTGTTTTATCACCAGCATTAGGATCCAACTTGAGTGTTCTTGCACTCAACATAGACAACACAGTAATGTCTCAAATGCTCTGATTTGCAGCATTTGACTCCAAATGAACATACTGCTTCTGTCTGAAAAGAACTAATGTTTTCTATGACAAAGTCTCAGACTCCCAGGATCAATCCCTCTGCCTCAGTATAGGAAGGAAGCTTTGTAAACCCATTAGCATTCTAGTTAGATTAGGATTTCTATGCCCATTCTTTTTGCAGCATAGTATTCATGCAGCCTGATCAAACTGTGTGGGCCTATGGGGCCAGGATGGCAGTGGGGGTGGACAGAGTATAAATCCAGAAATACTGTCAGGTTACATTTTGGTACAAATGTAAATATGCTTTTCATATTCTTTCCCCATAACTTTTCTTAAATGTGAATCATGTCAGAAGGTATAATTCAAGCTCGTCATTATATTCCAGTATATGAGTACAAAAATAACTTAGACTTCTACAAATATTTTTGAGCCTTTTAATATACATTACAAATATTTTAGACCAATCACATTTTGTGGTGTGTAACATATTTACAAAACAAAAATATATTACAATAAATATGAATGAAACAGTGAATCTGATCAACAAGAAACTCTGTCACAACCAGATATTTAAAACGAATGCAAAAACCTGTCAGTCTGCATATGTTAAGGGTTTTGAGATAAACAGGGGCCCAGAGTTATAATGTATCTGGAAAAGGGATGGGTGAATCCAAAGTTAACTTAGGTAAGATTCTTTCTCATTGCTAATTACATAATGTTTAATGATGTTTTAAATTGTGAACATTGATGAATTATCCAAACATGATTCAAAGCTAATATAGTTCTATCATTTCAAAGTGTATGTGAATTCACATAATAGCCTTTTAATTATTATCATTATATACTGTAGTTCACACAATATCTACAATGTGAATGACAAAAAAAAACAAAACACCAAGTCACAGCAACATGTCTCACATTCCAATTTTAAATAAGACAAGCACATACCGGATCAAATATTATTTTATAATATGTTAATAAATAACACCTAGTTTGTTATGGTTACTTTGAACAGCTTACAGATGTATATTTTAAAAGAACAAATTTTTTGTGAGTTTCACTTTGTGAGTAAAAAGTAAAATAAAAAACCAGACCCTTTTAATGAACAAAAGAAAGTTTTATATAGAACATAAAGTGTATTTTTTTCCTAATTTGGAACATAAAGCGTTTTTAACATGCTGCTTTTCTAATACAGTTTGCCACAAGAAAATTAAAATAGGAACAAAAAGTGATTGTCTTTGAAAAAACAATTTTTGAAAGCTTTCACAATATTAAGCACGAACCCTTTAAAACTAGCCTGGAAATCTCCATTGCCCCTCTGCTTTGCATATATGTACTATGCACACTGTGTATGTGCACACCAAAGAGATCTGCTGAGATCATGGGGTAACAACAGCTCCCCTCAAAATCAGAAACAGCCAAAACACTGAACTAAAATCCAACCAGTCTGAAGTCTCCATTCACTCTTGCTTTGCTTTTACAGATGTCCCTTCGATTTTACAGATGTGAAAAGTTGTTCCTGGGGATCCCCAAAGACTTTTAAAACAATAAAGCCGCTGTAATAATCCAAGGGGTCCAGTTTCACCAGGTGGGGAAAGGAACGCAGAAATCCTGACAAGCCACCTGGCTCGGTCGGAAGGTCAGCACAGCTCCCGCACTGCAACTGCAACTGTCTGCTTCCTGTGTTCAGTGTGGCCTTCTATTCTCTCACCACAACCACTCGCAAACCTGGAAGACTCTCAGTCCATACCAGATATCTGCCCCGATAACTTGTGAACGTGTCAAAGTGCTTTATAACAAGCTAAGAACATTTTCTTGGCTAAGCAAAAGGAAGAGCATTAAGCCTTATGGCAAATTTAGACGTTTCTTTCAAATCAGGTTGTTGTTATGGTATTAAGACTTTTTTCACTGAGCTACCAGTTTTCTAAAGGGAAAGGAAG